AACTTTTTTCCTAGATATATATAATTTCTTAAAATACTTAATATTACAATTATTTTTCCATTATTAATTATTTTTTATATATTTTTATTTAAAAATAAGCTCTCGAATGTAACTCAATAATGATAATAATCCATTTTTAAATTGACATTATATAATGAAAGAAACCAAAAATCTTATTGAGATCATACAATACTATCACAGCAACTTCTGGCAGGGAAATTTTTCATTTTTTTTTCTAGCGCTATGATTGGCTTGTTTGCAACTGGCTCGTGTGCAATTGATACACCCTATCAATAATATGTATATAATCAACTGCGAATATACTAAACTTAGGCAAATTTAGATTTTTAATGCACCTCATTTAGAGAATACAATAAACGAAAATGGAATTTTTCAGCTTGCCAAAAAATTTCAAACGACAAAATCATCATAAACAATTCCTTTAATATAATTCGCAAAACAGTCAACATGACTAAATATCGCAAGAACTTTGTATACAAGAAAAGTTTTCCTCTATATAAGCATATCTTTAATTTGCTGAGCTAATTTGTCAAAAATACCAATATGTCAAAAGTTAAAAAATCAAACAATAGAAATTAAAACATGTCGAATTCTACCGCGGTAATTTTCATTTGCTGGATACACATCTAATCTGAATATGATTCGTAAAGAATGAATTAATTCAACAAGGTAATTTAATTGTAAATTAACACACGCGCGTGCGCGTGTGTATGTGTGTATTACAAGAAAGACAAAGTCAAAGAAAGAGGGAGATTTACCTTCGACCACAACCAGGTCAAACTTCCCTGCGGTCGATGAACGTGATTTAAAAACGTGCCTAGTTGAAGACCAAAGGAATGAGCCTTCAGCAGTCTGAAGTTCTCCCTCTTGATTTTCCCACGTTGTCCCATCCGATCATGACCGTAAAAAACTCATCGCTTAGCTGTTGTTTTACCTGTGAACAAGAAAAATTGCTTGATAATTGCATGAACTTCTACAGTTTACGTATTATATAAAAAATTTAAACATTATAAATAACATTAAGTTTAATTCGTCATTCAACAGTAATTTGTTTGATCGTAGCACATATACATATATGTAATGTAACAGAGAGATCTATTTTATGTTAAAAAATCATTAATTTATTTAATACGTAGAAATTTTTAGTTTACTGCGTATGTTGCCATTTCTAACATGGAAGATCAATAACATAATAAGATAATTATGTTAGTATCTTAGTTAGGAATTCATGATTCTTGTCGTTATATGTTACTAAGTAGTACCAAAAAAAGTCTTCAAATTTTCTAATATAAATGTTTTATAATATTGAAATCATCTGTGTCATATGTTCCTCTTTTCATATAAAATTAATTCAATATTAAATTATTTTACAATATTAAATATTAAATTTGATAATTAAATTTTAAATTATTTTAATTAATTTTTTTGTTATACGGGGGTACATTTTAATTAATATCTCTTATTAATAAACTTACAGATAATAGTTATTTGTAATAGATTAGATTTCACAAATAACTTTATATTATTAAATATTCCTCTTTGTAGACGTAAGATTTAATATATTTAAATCGTTTCTATATAACTTAGGATTAATTAAATTACTTTATATATTAAATATAATATCATAAAATTATCGTATTGATACAATTTTATTACATTTTATGGCACTAATTTGATCTGATATAAAATTATTATTATTATTTTATTACGTATAGATTAATTCCTTGTTCATCAAGCAGTTCTAAAGACAAAAGATCGATAATAGGTATTATAAAATAGTTTCACGTGTTCATGACACGCGGTGTCCTTATTCATTAACGCAAGAAAAATTTGCTTATATTGGTTTTACTATATATATTATACTATCATTCATAAATACAAATATTGATATAAAATATTAAATAATCAATATAAACTATACTAATAAACTATTCATTTTTTATTAATCGTACTTTAATATTTTTATGAACAAAATAATGAAATTAATCAATTGGTATAAAAATACATAATTACTTATTTAAAATATGGTCCATTTTAGGTAATGTTCTTACATAAATGGTCTCATTTCTAGTCTTATTATTCATCATCCATTTTACCTAAATATTTATTCTAAAGTAACTCATGTTTTCTTTTGTTTATAATTATAATATTATTATAATTATACACACACACATAAATTACATTATATAATTATAATATTATTTTTAACTTTTATAATGCATTTCTTTTTGTTTTAGATTTTATCTGTTACGTAAATTTTATGCTCATAAACTAACTATTTAAAATGTTTTATTTTCTCAGAAAATATTTAAATTTGCACAAGTTAAATGTTTCAAATCTTTATTTAATTCAGTATCCTAAACAAAATAATTTAACGCGTTGAGAATTACTAAGAAGAGAAATAAAATCTTTAATTAAACACACTTCTCTCTATCAAGTTTGACATTTTTTCTCTCTTGGCACCATCTCTCGCTCTTTGCCCGCTTCCACCCCTCTCTCTCTCTCTCTCTCTCTCTCTCTTTCTTTGTTTTATTAATAAATAATAAATCTAAAATGCAAGAGGAAAACGCAGTGTGCGAACGGACACGCAGGGTCATTATCCCACAACACGAGGGTTACTGCGGTAAGGACTACAGACAGGATGTCGCCACTGAGATCGCAATTCAGAGGGTGTACGCTCGTATACAAGAGGGGCCTAGGAGCTCAATTACGTTACTTTTCTACAAAAGCGAAGTTTTCAGGAATACGTAAAATTAGGTATACATTAAATTACGATAATCGCAATAGATCCATTAAGATAAGCATTACAATTAAGAGTATGATAAATTATGATGAATTTAATTAAATTAAGAGTATATATGCATTTTGATTAAATATTATATTAACTATACGTCTCTAACATTATTATGTGATTACTTTCTTCGATGAATTATACATAGACTTATAATTACGTCTAATTTGATAATTTTAGTAATTTTACTTTTCATTCATATGTATATATAATATGGTTTCAGTTAGTTATAGTTATAATTATAAATATAGAGTTAAACAAGGCCGCCATTGAAGTAATTTGTGCAAAAAGATCTGCCACTATCCTTAATATTTTTTTTATTTATTGATCTTTAAAAAAAATATTTTTTTAAATAATTTAAAAAAATAATTTTTTAATATCTTTAAAGAGTACACATTTTATTTCTATTTTATAATATTGATCGTTCACTTTATTATTGAAAGAGGAAAAAGGAGACAGAAACGTAAGAAGTGGAAATTTTTATCATTCACATTAATAAAAAAAAAATGTTTTCATCCTAAAAAATCATGTCATTGGTATTCTAGTCTAGTATTAAAATGACTTGTTATGGATGTATATGTATACTATATCTATTGAAAGATTTTAGTAATACAGGAAAATAAACAATTATCTGGTACAATGACTTCAGATTTTAATTACGATACTAACGGTATAAAATCTCTAAATTAAATATACAGATACGTTTTGGAAGAAACGTTAAATCTGACAAACGCAACACACGCAATTGGTATTAAAAATGAAGAACTAATTTTTAAAACTATAAATTTGACACTCCTCTCTCTCTCTTTCTTTTGTTAATCTACTTTTGTGCAATGCGCTACTTGCACACTAGCTTGCGATGGCCCTAAAAAAGTGTATTCGCCCCCTTCGAAGTTATTCCCTTCGAAGTTACTTTGTATCTCACAGCTATTTTTTATCGAGTAAAATTTTACACAATATCTCATGCTATTATATCTTTAAAAGGTATAAGTACCTCATTTAAAAAAACATCGCTAATATGTACACGAAATACAGACATCGGCCCGTAGTATGCGTGCTAATACTTTCTCAGTCAAAATTTATTTTTTTCCAAATTTTTCGTCTCTTTTTGAACGACCAGGTACACGAAGAGACAAAAGTAGAGATAAAGGAAGTTAAAGAAATATTCTATTTATAACCATCGCTTAACTTAGAGAAAAAAATAGTACCAGCAACAATTAAAAAAAATTAAGAATTAGTATCTCAGAACAAATAGTATCTTAATATATGTATTATAAAATTGCTGTAAAAGAAAATTGTACTAATTAAATAAACTTAACAATGTTAATCATTTGTAGAAAATAAAATGATAAAATAACAAAACATAAAAAATATACATAGTAATGTAAAATAGTATTATTAACGGAAAATATATTAGAGAGAGAGGAAAGTCGTCTTTACTGACGTAGAACTAAAGAGATAATCCTTTATTCTTCGGAAACTACTGCACCTTATTAATACTAATAAAAACATGATATGTTTAAGTAATTAAAGAAGTAAAAACTTATAATTTACACAAATATATTATCTTTATACAAAATCAGCTGAAAAACGAATTCTACAAATGTAAAAATAAAATTCTTAAGATTTTCTTTTTCAATATCAATTCTTATTGGGCTGTTAAATTTCAAACCGAATGAAACAATGCCACAGCGGTCTAAGCTGGATCACGGGTGCTTCTAAATAATTGCGTGTGAATTTATATACTATGTATGTAATTCTTCGATTGCGCGCGCCGAAATTTTTTTAGACTT